CTTGGACCTTGAAGATGTTAGGGACGAAGTGTTCCCTGTCATAAAGGGATGCCATTCTTTTTAAAAACCCTATTTCTGCCGTGGAATAACATCCAACAAAATTCACTTAGAATCACAAATTTGCGTCAGGCTTTTTAACAGTTGATGAAATGTGCTTGTCCAGAGAAACATCAGGACTGAGTCATTGCCACATATGTTTGCCCTGGTCTAGCCTTTTCCAAATGAATAGCCTCAACTCTGTTGTAAAGAAAGTTTTATTTGTATTTTACTACTATTGGGTCAATTTTGATAATAACTGGTTACAAACAAAGCCTTACTATTTATTAGTGGGAAATGGTTTTAAGACCCTTCCTTCCAGTACTTACATTTAATTCTCAGAGCTCCTTGTCCCCCTTTCCATTTGGATTCTTTGTGTTTGGGAAATGCTGTTGTACTCATTTAAAATGGTCACATATAGCTGGATCTTAACTAGGAGAATGAAGTTATTTCTGCTTTGTTTCTTCCCTGAGATGATCCAGAGTTGGCGCCTTCCGCCACACTTGTTTGAGGCAGCCATTGCTCTTGTTACTGCCCAGGTCCTGAATCCCTTGTTTCCAGCTGAGTCCAAGGAAATGTGACTAAAAAGCTGGTCAGAACTCACCACTGAAGGAAACACAGTTGTCTGTCTCTCTGAACTGGTTGCTGCCGAAGAAAGAAAGATGGGACAACACTGATAGGATGGTGGGCTCCTGCTGGAATTGCAGCGTCTCCTTTTTTCTTGGCATGGCAGGTTTTGCCAAACGAACTTTTTTGTATCAAATATTGATGTGTGGAAGTGAAGGAATTGGTGGTGGCTGAGCCAAGAGTGTTTGAGATACTGTCATTTTTGCACATTTTTGAATACTTTGGAGACTGGCTTTGTACAAACTTATTCTCTGGTTTCCTCTATGTTGTAAATAATTAGACCATAATTTCATTATAAATAAATGTATAAATAATCTGCTTGTCAGTTCTTTTTGTCCTGTAGACTTTTTTTTTAACTTTATTTTATGTGCATTGGTGTAAAGGTGTCAGCTTTCAGGGAGCTAAAGCTACAGGCAGTTGTGAGCTGCCATGTGGGTGCTGAGAATTGAACCCGGATCCTCTGGAAAAGCAGCCAGTGCTCTTAATCGTTGAGCCATCTCTCCAGCCCTGCAATAAAATTTTTAAAGTAATTTATACATCTTTATTATTTTTCTTATGTGTGTTTGTTGTTTTACCTGCATGTATGTCTGTGTGAGGACATTGGATTCCCTGGGGCTAGTTACAGATAATTGTGAGCTGTCATGTGGGTGCTAGGAATTGAACCCAGGTCTTCTGGAAGAGTAGTGAATACTCTTAACCTTTGAGTCATCTCTCCAGCCCCTCAATACATTCTCTATTCATAGCATAATGCAGTTATTTCACTACCCAACCAAAACTTAGCAGGCTCTGATATTTGCATATGCTCCTTGAATTTATAAAGTGAAAATGAAAGATTAAAAGACTTTTAATGTTTTATGTTTCCTATTTTCTAACTTTTCCTTCAATGATTTGTTTTTATTTTTGAGGTGGGTTCACTATGTGCTTCTGGCCCCCAAGGACAGCTACATTTGTATTACGTGTGTCCTAATTGGTCTTAATACTAAAAAGCCAGAGTTAGATACTGGAGCAAGTGTTGAAAGATCAGAGAAAGGAACGAGCTACAGGCACCCTTTATTTTGCTAAATCCTCAGCCAAAAACTGGCCTAACTACTGTCCCCTCCACCTTTCGCTCTCTGCCCAACCATATCACTTCCTGTCTGTACAGACTTCCAGACCTCAACGTTTAACTAGTGGCTAGCTCTGATCTTCATGCAAGCTCTCTTTGTTAGAGCACAAACAAGATAACACCACACACACACACACATATATATCTTCCAAATACATCTATAAAAAAAATAGATCAGCCAGGCGGTAGTGGCACATGCCTTTAATCCCAGCACTCGGGAGACAGAGGCAGGTAGCTCTCTGTGAGTTCGAGGCCAGCCTGATCTACAAGAGCTAGTTCCAGGACACCTAGGGCTGTTAAACAGGAAACCCTGTCTCAACCAAAAAATAAAATATAAATAAATAAATTGATCTTAAAAATTAATGAATGGCACACACTTTTCGGGGGTGATGTGTATAGCTGCCAGAGGGTAGTTTTCAGTTCTTATGCTGTGGTATGTGGATCACACTTGGTAAGCACTTATAACCGTCTGAGGCACCTTGCTGGCCTTGTCTTTTGGGTTGGGGGGTTGAGGCACGGGGTCTCACTATGTAGCCCTGGCTGTCTTGGAACTCTGTAAAACAGACTCCTTTTCCAGAATGCTGGGATTAAAGATGGCCATTACACTTATACTTTTTCCTGGTTTGTTTGGTTGTTTGGTTTTGGTTTTTTGAGATAGGGTTTCTCTGTGTAGCCCTGGCTGTCCTGGAACTTGGTCTGTAGTCCAGGCTGGCCGTGCACTAACAGAAATCCATCTGCTGCTGTGTTCTGGGATTAAAGACATGTACAACCACCGCCTGGCTCTACCTGGTTTTTAACATGTCACTGTGTAGCTCTGGGTAGTTACAGCTACTGCCCAGCCAAAAGACGTATTGAAAATCAATCAATCTCTCTCTCTCTCTCTCTCTCTCTCTCTCTCTCTCTCACTGTCTTTCTCTATCTCTGTTATACAGGGTAGCTCTGGCTTGTCCTGGAACACACTTTATATACTAGGCTGGCCTTAAACTCAGAGATCCACCTGCTTCTGCCTCCCTCGTGCTGGGATTAAAAGTACTTGCCACCACTTCTTAGCTTTTTGTTGTTGTTTTAAAGATTTATTTTATGTGCATTGAAGTTTTTCCTGCATATATGCTCTGTGTGAAGATGTCAAATCACTTGGAACTGGATTACGGGCATTTGAGCTGCCATATGTGTGCTGGGAATTGAGCCTAGGTCCTTTAGAAGAGTAGCCAGTGCTCTTCATCACTGAACCATCTCCAGCCCCTATTTTATTTTCTGTTCTGTCCTTTTGGCAGTTGAACCCAGAACTTTGTCCATGCTAGGTAAAATTCTGCCACTGAGATACATCCCAGTCCCTCCCCACTTTGAGTTTTTTGGAGATCAGGAGTCTCATTATTTAGCACTGGCTGCCTTGAAGCTCTGATGTGTAGACCAGACAGACTTGAAGAGCACCTTCTGCCTGTTTCCAAAATGTTGGTTTTCTAGGCATGTCTGGAAAAACAAAAGGTAGGCAGAGACTGCTTGTTCTTCTCCAGGTCTTCCATCCCCAGAGTAATCACACAGGAACTGTATTAATTAAAACACTGTTCAGCCTATTAGCCCAAACTTCTTATTAACTATTACATCTTAAATTAACCCATTCCTGTTGTTTTGTATTTTACAAGACTTGTGGGTTACTGGTAAGTTTCCAGTGGGCGGCTACATGGGCTACATGTCATCTCTCTCACACCATCTTCTTTTCTCCTCTATCTCTGCTTCGAATTCTCACCTTGGTCTATTCCCACGCTGCCATAAGCCCAAAGCAGCTTTTTTTCTTTAAAAGGGAGGGTTTATTATTATTATTATTGATTTTATTGAGCTCTACATTTTTCTCTGCTCCCCTCCCTGCCTCTTCCCTTCCCTTCAACTCTCTCCCATGGTTCCCATGCTCCCAATTTACTCAGGAGAAATTTTCTTTTTCTACTTCCCATGTAGATTAGATCTATGTATGTCTCTCTTAGTGCCCTCATTGTTGTCTAGGTTCTCTGGGATTGTGATTTGTAGGCTGGTTTTCATTGCTTTATGACTAAAGGCCACTTATGAGTGAGTACATATGATAAGTGTCTGTCTGGGTCTGGGTTACCTCACTCAAAAAATGTTTTCTAGCTCCAACCATTTGCCTGCAAATTTCAAGATACCATTTTTTTCTGCTGTGTAGTACTCCATTGTGTAAATGTACCACATTTTTCTTATCCATTCTTCAGTCGAGGGGTATTTAGGTTGTTTCCAGGTTCTGGCTATGACAAACAAAGCTGCTATGAACATAGTTGAGCACATGTCCTTGTGGCACGATTGAGCATCCTTTGGATATAAATCCAAAAGTGGTATTGCTGAGTCTTGAGGAAGGTTGTTTCCTAATTTTCTGAGAAATCACCACACTGACATCCAAAAGGGTTGTACCAGCTTGCATTCCCACCAGCAATTCAGAAGTGTTCCCTTCTCCCCACAACCTCTCCAGCATAAGTTGTCATCAGTGTTTTTGATCTTTGCCATTTGGGTTTCTCTGATGGCTAAGGATGTTGAGCATTTCCTTAAGTGTCTTTCAGCCATTTTAGATTCCTCTGTTGAGAGTTCTCTGTTTAGGTCTGTACTCCATTTTTTTTTTTTTTTAAATTGGATTATTTGTTCTCTGTGAGTTCAAGGACAGCTCGGTCTACAGAGCTAGTTCCAGGACAGGCTCCAAAGCTACAAAGAAACCTTGTCTCGAAAAACCAAAAAGAAAAAAAAACAGCAACAAGTGCTTCAAAAGAGATCTTTTTTGAAGACAGAGTCTCATGCAGCCTATGTAATATGTAACTTAGTATGTATCCAGCACTGACCTTTGAACTGCTTGATGCCAACAATACCTTTCATGCGGGGTTTGTAGGCATGTGCCATCATATCTGGCTTAATGTTTTTAACATACACAACTTCAATTAGAATAACTGGGTGCTCAGAACATCTGTCTGGTCACAGGAACGTTAAATAAGACAGCTTTTTTGGAAAAAGGAGCACCGCTGTGTAGCAATGACTATACTTACCCTAAATGAAATCGTGTATTTTGGTAAGATTGCGAGGATTTGCCTCCCGGTAGCAAATAACCCTAAGTTACTCACTTTAAAGGTTTCTGTTTCGGTTAGTGGATCACCCATTTCCTACGTGCAAACCTTGAGAACAGTATGTGACCAGAGGGCTTTGCGAGTCAGACCTTGGCGTGGGGTGGAGCAGTCTCTCTGTCGGCTTGGGGGCGGGGCTTGGGTTACGCCCCGCCCACCGGCGCCATCTTCCTGGACCCGGGCGGGGCAGTGGGTTGTACGGCGCCACTCGGGAAGGAATCCGATCTGCAACCCGGACTCAGGGCTTCTTTCAGAGGTAAGGGCACAGGTGGGCAGGGACGGGAGGAGGGAAAGTGGGGGCGGCAACCTGAAGAAGACCTGGCGGTACCAGGCAGCCCTCAGCACGCTTCCGGCTCCTTCCTACTGGCACACTGCCTCAATCTGAAGAGAAGCCCAAGTTCTTTTTATTTTTCTGTAAAAAGTAAGTTTAGAAATCTGTGATGTGTTTTAGAACTGAGACTAACGGGGAAGGGAGAAGACCTGGGTTTCTTAGTGTTCCGCAATGAGCAGGGTAGGCCGACTGTCTCCAGCCTGGACTAAATGTTTTGTGCCTTCCCTAGGAGGCCTTTCCTCGGGGCCCAGGACTGGTCGTAAGGACAATGGACTCCGGAGCTCGCCCAGTTGGTAGCAGCTGTAGCAGCCCTGCAGCGCTATCACGGGAATACAAACTAGTGATGCTGGGTGCTGGTGGCGTTGGGAAGAGCGGTAGGTAACCGTTTCTATTTGACAGAAAAGTTTGAAAAGCACCAGATGGGTTACTGACGGTTGTGCAAAGTTGATAGTTGAAATACTTCATGGTCACTGTCATGAGTTCCATTTCTTGTTTTGAAGCCATGACAATGCAGTTCATCAGCCACCGTTTCCCAGAAGATCATGACCCCACCATTGGTAAGTCAGATCCTTATTTATATGCCAGGTACATCCTGTGAAAGTATCTTAATAGAGTTAATGTTTAAAAAGTAGTATTTATATCTTGAGCTTTTGTGTATGTAATTCATACTTATGTAGAAACAAGGATAAACCGTTGAGAATTTTTTTTTCCTAGACTTCATATGTACATATGCCACCTTTAGTCTTTGGGTTAGGTTGAGCATTAATAGACAAAGTTTGTCTTTTTTTAATGAATGTATTCGGTATCGTTAGATTAAAGGAAAGTTTAAAGGCTGCTCAAAGAAACCATCTGTAGCTATCACTTCTGAGGCTCTGACATGAGACTAACCTGGTAGTGTGAGTCAGCTGGTTTGAACTTCCACAAAAGGAAGCAGAAAAACAAGTAGAGCCAGCCTATTGAATTCTTAGCACCGAACTTCCACTGGAAGCTCTTAATTTATTTCCTTATCCTTGCAGCTTGGTATATAGCAACATCATCTGTGTCTTTGTCATTTTTGACTGTTAGATGTTGGTAGAGTGCCGATAGAGTAAATCAGGTTTTTTTGTTTTTGTTTTTTAACACTGGGGATTGAGCCTGAGACTTCAGACCAAGCATACCAGGCAAGGGCTCTACCACTGAGCTGTGTCCCCAGCTTTGTTTTGTGTTGTTTGTTTTAAGTTGTGTTGTTTTCTTTTGATAAAAGATTGAGCCCAAGCTAGCCTTGAACACACAACACACCTTTTGGCTTAGTCTGGGATTATAGGCATGAGCTACCATGCCCAGTTCTATGGTGTGTGGGCTGTATTATTGTTGTTTTTGGTTGCTATCTTCTGTTGACTGAGAACATTCCTCACTCCTAAATCATTAGGAAACAGTTGTGGGTTTTTTGTTTGTTTGTTTGTTTTGTTTTGTTTTGTTTTTTTTGAGACAGGGTTTCTCTGTGTAGCCTTGACTGTCCTGGAATTTGAATTCTGTAGACCAGGCTGACCTCGAACTCAGAAATCCGCCTATCTCTGCTGCAGTGCAGTTTTGATTCTGAATGATTATATAAAAGAAAAGTAGGGCTGAGGAGGAGACAGAAGCTCTGCCATTAGCTGGGAGTGATGGCACACATCTGTAATCCCAGCACTTGGGAAGCAAAGGAATGTGAATTCACCAGTCTGGGTTACATAAAGAGTTATAGGCTGGCCAAAAGTATTAATGAGGTCCTCTGTCAAAACAAAAACAAAAGCCTGCCATTCTGTGGCTGTGGTCATTTTATTTAGCATATGCTTCTGTGGGTTTGGGGAAAGTGGGAACACTTGTCTTTTTATTGAGCTCTATGGAAGTTATTTATTTTTTTTGTGGTAGGGATCAAGCCTAGGGCCTCAAACAGGCTAAGTACATGCTGTGCTACCGAGCTGCATCCTAGCTCTGCTGTATCAACTTTAGAACATTGTTTCAGAAATTCAGCAGTGGTGTGGGAACTCTGAAGAAAGTGACTTCAGGGTTAGGATCGTTTACTTAGTGCCAAGCATTAACTCTAGGCCACCCACTCGTGATCCCAGTGCAGAGCCCAAATTCAAAGTTGTCTCAGCTCTAGTGAAACTACACTAGAGGGACATTGCCTGTGCTTGCTAGGTGGCCAGGCAGGGTCAGTATCTACCCTCTGCCCTGCAGACTGCATGTTTGCTACGCATGCCCTCCTGCACTGCTGGTTCCTGAGTGTAGGAAGACTGGCTGTCAGCCTGCCACACCCACTGAGTTATTCTGCCCTTGTTTATGGTGATAACTAGCCACACCTAGAGGTTGGCTGGAAAATGCCACTTGGTCACCTTAGTTGGGCTGGGAACCCAGACCCTGAGCTCAGGCTTCAGGGTCTACTAGGCCCAACTTCACTCCTTGATAGGAGGGTAGATATGTTCCTACACCTCCTTTACTCTCTTCTCCTGTAGAGGTTTAGACTATCAAAATAGGCAGAACTTTCTTTGGTCATGCATGTTCTGTCTGTTCTCTTGTACTGGGTTATAACCAGAGCTCAGAGCTCAGCAGTGCTCACAGGGACCACTGGTTGTCTTTTATTTTACCATGGTAGCTCATGGAGAAGGAAACCCGACTTCCCCAGGTCTCCTTCACTGAAAACGAAAATCTACATCTATAACCTCCACCTTAACATCAGTGGAAAGGTGCTCGCCCCAAAAGCCTGGCGACCTGCATTCCAGAAGAACCCATGTAAAGGTGGGAGGAGAGGGAGGAGAGACCTAATTCCACAAAGGTGGTCTCTACTCACCCTGCTGCACACAGATACCCTAGAGTCATGCACATACATAATAATATAAATATCTTTAGATCAACTAAAATCCCAAAGAACTCCAGAACCAATCTCTTACTTCTTTTTGTATTTAATTTTTTATAAGCGACATTAAACAATCTTTTTATTTGTTGAACCCGGACCTTGGACACACTAGACACACACTATCACACTAAGTCCCCAGCTGTCTTATTTTTAAGGTAAAATTCATATTTTTTCACCCCAAAAAGGTTTCACTGGTTTGTCTGCAGTGTTGTGGATTGAATTCAGGGCTGAAAAGATCGATTTTTTTTTTTTTTATTTTATGGCTATAGGTGTTTCCCTGTCTGTGTCTGTGCACCGCAGTGTGCCTAGTGCTTGCAGAGGCAGAAGAAGGGCATTCAATCCCATGGACTGAGTTAATAGAATGTTGTACGCTCTCATAGGGGTGTTGTGAGCCAAACCCAGGCCATCAGTACATTTTTTACCCTACTCTGCTGCTCTCTGACAGTACTGATGATTCAGCAGCAAATGCTTGTGTGTCTTGAGTACTGTAAGTGAGTGTATGTATATACTCACATATAAGCACATATCTATGTGACTGAAATTAAAATCTAGTTTGGGGACCTGTGAGATGGCTCAGACAGTAAAGGCACCTGTCACCAAGTCTGGCGTGAGATCCCGGTAACCCCCATGGTAGAGGGTCCTCTCACCTTCGTAGCCATGCTGTGTCATGGGATGGCGAGTCTGCCAAGCCTGCCAAGCCTGGTAACTTGAGTTCCATCACTGAGTCTCACATGGTGGAAAGTTGTCCTCTGAACTCCACATGCACTATGTGGCGTGTGTGTGTGCCCACATGTATGCAGAACCTATTCAAGAACTGTAGCATGGAGGGCCGGCTTGTTGGGGTTTCCGTCCCGCCTGGTACCCCACAGCCAGCAAATCCCAAAGAGAAATCACACACAGGACTCCATAAGATTATAAACTGATTGGCCCATTAGGTCAGGCTTCTTATTAGTCCTTGTAACTTATATTAATCCATTATCATTATCTATGTTAGCCATAATGGCTCAGTACCTTTTCCAGGGGGGCAGCTTACATGTTGCCTCTTTGGTGGTCTGCGCAGGAGTGGCTGAGGAACTTCTGCTTCCCAGAAGTCTCCTGTTCTCATTGCATCACCTCTACTTCCTGTCTGGTTTTCCCGCCTATACAGTATTGCCTGGCCAATCAGCGTTTTATTAAAATATGATTGACAGAATACAGACAATTCTCCCGCATCAAAGAACATAATTGATTTTTTAAAATTTTTTATGGTTTATTTAACTTTATTTTATGTGCATTGGTGTCAGGTCCCCTGAAACTGGATCTTCAGACAGTTGTGAGCTGCCATGTGGGTACTGGGAATTGAACCCGGGTCCTCTGGAAGAACAGTCAGTGCTCTTAACCACTGAGCCATCTCTCCAGCCCCCATAATTGATTTGAAAATGTTAAGAGGATTTATCTTGGGGTGTATGTGGCTAGTATTTTTTTTGAGACAGGATTTCTCGGCATAGTTCTGGCAGCCCAGGACCTCACTCCGTACACCCGGTTGGCCTTGAACTCAGAGATCTGCCTGCCTCTTTCTCCTGAGTTCTGGGATTCAAGCCCTGCACCACCCTGTGTGGCAGTTGATTTTAAGTGATGAAAATATTGAATGGACTTTTTTTCCCTCTTTTACTTTTCTGTATTTTCCATGATTAGTATAGAAATCTACATTAAAGAAGGTGGTAGACGTGCACCGGGCGGTGGTGGCGCACACCTATAATCCCAGCACTTGGGAGGCAGAGGCAGGCGGATCTCTGTGAGGTCCAGGACAGCCTGGTCTACATATCAAGTTGGCCAGTCAGGGTTACATAGTGAGACCCTATCTACAAAACAAAAAATAAACAGCAAAAAATGTGATAAAATTAAAATTTTTAAAGGGCTAAAGCCGGCTCGTGCTTCTGTCACGCTTATGACCTGAGTTTAACCCAGGGCTGTGTTGCCCCTCACAGTAACATGCAGAAAAGAGCTTGGTTTCGAAATGAAGGGATTATGACATTTTCTAGACAATGGTAAAGCTGTGAGGGACGCTTCATTGGGTACAGTACACTGGCTGTGCTGCAGGGTCGCAGACGGGGTTTCTGGCACCGCAGTGTGTGCTGTCTCCATCACCACCTAACTGCAATTAAGAAGACATTCAGTATTTTAGGGTTAGCCTTTTCATTTTTTTTTTAAGTCTTTTTTCTAAGACAATCTCACCTGCAACTCCATTTGGCCTCAAACTCAGAGATCTGCCTGCCTGTGCACCGCCAGTGGTGGGGGTAAGGGTGTGTGCCACCATACCTCATTTACCTTCTTTTGCTGTAAAATGCAAATAATAATACTTTACAGTTTGCTTAACCTAATGTTTTGTATGTGCTTTCATAAATGGCAGTTGGGACTAAAAGCATGCACCACTATGCCAGTGGTTAAAACATTTTTTTTAATGTGCATGATGTGTGTAGGCATATATGCCACAGCAAGTGTGTGAAAGGCAGAGGAAAACTTTTCAGCTTCTGTCCTGTCCTACTTTTGTGTGGATTCTGGGGTTCTAGCTCAGGTTGCCAGGCCCGCATCGCAGAACAGTACCAGTTGAGCCACTTCCCCTGGGCCCTGACTTACTGTTTTAAAAGAAATTCTTTCAGAATCCTTGTGGTGTTGCTGGCACAGGCCTTTAATCCCAGCACTTGGGAGGCAGAGGCAGGTGGATCTCTGTGAGTTCGAGGCCAGCCTGAACTAGGAGCTAGTTCCAGGACAGGCTCCAAAGCTATAGAAAAACCCTGTCTCGAAAAACAAAACAACAATAGAAAAGAGACCTTGTGGTGGTTTGAATAAGAACGACCACCACAGGTCCCTGTATTTGAAATTTTAGTGACGCCGAGAGTGGAACTGTTAGAAAGGATTAGAAGGTCAGGATTACGGCCTTGTTAGAAGTGTCACTGGGTGAGCTTTGAGGTTTCAGAACCCCATGGCAGACCCAGTCTCTGCTCGCTTTCTCTCAGCCTGTGCAACAGGACATAGCACTGAGCTGCTGCTGTAACACCGTGCCTGCTCCCCGCCATAGCTACAGACTAACCCTCTGAGACTGTAAGCAAGCCCCAGTTAAATGCTTTGCTTCTTGAGAGCCCTGGTTGTGGTGTCTCTTCACAACAGGAGCACAGTGACTAAGGCCATCTTTTTCTTTCTTTCTCTCTTCTCCCTTCCTCCCTCCCACCCTCCCTTCCTTCCTTCTTTTCTTTCTTTTATTTTTTTTTTATTTTTTTATTTTTGAGACAGGGTATCTCTGTGTAGTGCTAGCTGTTCTGGAACTTGCTTTGTGGACCAGGCTGGGCTCAAACTCACAGAGATCCACCTGCCTCTGCCTCCCAAGTGCTAGAATTAAAGGCATGTGTCACCAATGTCTGGCTCATTTTTTTTAATATATATTTTCTCTGTATTAGTGTTTTACCTGTATGTATGTCTGTGTACTGTGTATGTATCTGGGGAGAGCATTGGTTCCTCTGGAACTGAAGTTATAGATGGTTGTGAGCCACCATATGGGTGCTGGAAACTGAACCTCCTCTGGAGGAACAACCAGTGCTCTTAACCACTGAGCCATCTCTCCAGCCCTTCCTTCCTTCCTTCCTTCCTTCCTTTCTTCCTTCCTTCCTTCCTTCCTTCCTTCCTTCCTTCCTTCCTTCCGTCCTTCCTTCCTTCCTTCCTTTCTTCTTTCCTTCCTTCCTTCCTTCCTTTTTTTAAGACAGCATCTCCCTTTGTAGCCTTAGTACACGTAGAACTCATTATGTAAACAAAATTGACCTCGAATTCAAAGAGATCCTCCTGCCTCTGCTTCTCAGATGCTCAGAATTAACTTTTAGATTTAGATTTACAGCTGTGAATAAGATATATAACCATGCCGGGTGGTGGTAGCTCATGCTTTTAATCCCAGCACTTGAGAGGCAGAGGCAAATGGATCTCTCTGAGTTTGAGGCCAGCCTGGTTTACAGAGCTAATTCTTGGACAACCAAGGCTATACAAAGAAACTCTGTCTCAGAAAATAAAACAAGGGCTGGAGAGATGGCTTAGCAGTTAAGGGCACTGGCTGCTCTTCCATAAATCCTGAGTTCAATTCCCAGCAACCACATGGTGGCTCATAACCATCTATAATGAAATCTGGTGCCCTCTTCTGGCCTGCAGGCAGAACTCTGTACACATATTAATAAATAAATAAATAAGCAAGCCTTTTTAAAACAAAACAAAAAAATACATGACCACTCATGAACAAAGAAAAACTAATCTACATATTTTGATGAATTTATAGCATCCTGAGAAAATTAAGCACATAAAAACAACCCTGGGGGCCACTGAAATGGCTCAGCAGGTAAGGGCACCTGTCCTACTAGTGTTGTGACTTAGAATGCATATAAAGGTATAAGGAAAAAGCTGACTTCATAATTTGACCCTTGACCTCCATATGCATACACATACATACACACATACATCATGCGTGTACATACACATCACTAATAAAATTTCTTAAAGAACTTGGTGGGCTAGGGAGATGGCTTCGAGGTTAGAGCGCTTGCTTTATAATCTAGAAGCAGAGTTCAGTTCAGATCCCCAGAACCCCGGTAACCGACTTACATGAAATTCCAGCCTCCACAGTCAAAGACAGGCTTCATTGAGCAAGCTGCCTAGTGAGATCCAGTATGAACCCTGGATCTCCATGCACATGTGCACCCATACACACATGAGCATTCATGCATTTACATGTGTACATACCAACACCTGAGAACAAATGTAAAAAGATGAAGCCTGGGAATATAGCTCAATGGTAGAGCATTCGCCCACCATTTGAACCCCTGGATTCAAGGTCTGGCTCTACCAAAATAAGTAAATAAAATTGGATGGGACTGCCTCTTCTGTAGGGCAAGTTTTCAAATCCTTGCTTCTTCCCGCATGTGTGTTCCTCCTCCTGTAGAAGATGCATATAAGATCCGGATCCGCATTGATGATGAGCCTGCCAATCTGGACATTCTGGATACAGCTGGACAGGTACTGAACCCCAGCACTGTGGGTAAAGAGTGTGTCCTCTAGGAAGGGGCAGGCTTCTGTGGGCAGCATCACTAGCCTGTCTCTCTTGATTTCCATGCTCTGCCTCAGGATAGACTCTGAAGTAGCCAGTGTGCATGCAGGTCTAAGTTGCAGCAATGCATTATGGACCTTTGTTTCCCTCCAGGCAGAGTTTACAGCCATGCGGGATCAGTATATGAGGGCAGGAGAAGGATTTATCATCTGTTACTCGATCACGGATCGTCGAAGTTTTCATGAAGTTCGGGAGTTTAAACAACTGATTTACCGTGTCAGACGCACTGACGACACACCAGTGGTTCTCGTGGGAAACAAATCGGATCTGAAGCAGCTGCGGCAGGTGAGAAGCAAGGCCTGCAATGTTGTGGGTGGTCATTTGTTTCTTGAAGATTGCTTTGCCTTAAAATAGAAAATGAAAATTAGCGTATCCCTAGCTTTGGAAATGTCCCTTTAGCTATCAATTTTGTGTTATATAAAATCTGGACCTTTAGACATGAGCGCACAGGGTTTTAGACATAATAGCCTATCTGTGTCCTGTACCATAACCCAAGCATTTAACAGGCTAGGCAGGAGCATCACCATACATTTGAGGGTTTGTAGACCTAGGCCCAGACAGTCAGTCAATTAGCAAACAAATAGATGGCATTAGAATACTCATTAAGTAAAGAATCATGAGCTGTTAATTTCCTAATCATCAGAAATGACGTTTGGCTGTAGTTTAGTGGTAGCATACACAGGGACCCGGGTTCAATCTCCAGCACCACAAAATAAAAATTTAGATGTCAAAAAAGCCAAGGGCAACAAGAAGTCTCAGCAAAGGCACTTGTTTGCCTTGGAAATGTGGTGGCCTGAACTCAATCCCTAAAATCCACACAGAGGTGAAACAAGAGAACCAGTTCCGCAGAGTGGCCGGCTGATCCTCTGTTGACTTTACACATGTGCTGTGACAGTCCAGCCCTGCACACACACACACAATAAATAAACACTTAAAAACAATAAAACTAATGGAAACTTCAGGGTCGCAGAGCTAACTGGGTGGTTAGGAATACTGGCTACTCTTGCGGAGGACTCAGCTCCATCCAGAGTTCAAATGGTATGATTCAGAACCATCTGTAGCCCCAGTTCCAGGGCATCTGATGCCTCTGGTCTCCAGGGGCACCGTGCACACACATGTACACAGACATACATGTAGGCAAGTAACCCATACATGTAAAATAATTATAATCCAAAATATAAATAAATCTGGACAGTGGTGGTACACACCTTTAATCCCAACACTCAGTAGGCAGAGGCAGGCGGATGGATCTCTGTGAGTTCGAGGCCAGTCTGATCTGCAGAAGGAATTCCAAGACAGGCTACAAAGCTACCCAGAGAAACCCTGTCCTGAAAAATCAAAGCATAAAGAAAGCTATCATGGGGCTGGAGAAATGGCTCAGATGTTAAGAGCACTGACTGCTTTTCCAGAGGTCCTGAGTTCAATTCCCAGCAACCACATGATGATTCACAACCATCTGTAATGAGATCTGGCGCCCTCTTTTAGTGTGTGGGCATACATGGAAGCAGAATGTTGTACACATAATAAATAAATAAATAAATAAATAAATAAATAAATCTTAAAAAAAAGAAAGTTATCATTATCAATATGTGTATTTACTTAATATCTGTTTCCAAAAGTTCCACTGAAAGGACTGGGGACTCAGTTCAGTCAGTAAAGGGCCTTGTAAGAGGGTCTGAGGCCTGGGTTTAGTGAGACAGGGTTTCCCTGTGTAGCCCTGGCTGTCCTGGAACTCACTCTATAGCCCAGGCTGGCCTCGAACTCACAGAGATCCGCCTGCCTCTGCCTCCCAAGTGTTGGGATTAAATGTGTGTGCCACCACCGCCCTGCATAAATTTAGTTTTTTCTTTGTTTTGAAAGCCAGGCATGATGGTTTATAACCCCAACAGTGGGGAGGTAGAGATGGGCAGATCCTGGGGTTTGCTGATCAGCCTGCTTGACAAGCTCCAGACTAGAGGGAAACCTTGTTTCAGAAAAGAAAAAAGAGAGGCTGAGTTGTAAAGTTCAGTTGGTGGTGTGTCTGCCTACCGTGCAGGAAGCTGGGTATGACACGGAGGCAGCTAGGGCTACACAGAGAAACCCTGTCTTGACAAAACAATTTAAAAAATTATGTGGGCTCTATTCCTAACACTGCATAAAAGCAGACATGGTGGCATATACATATAATTCAGGCACTCCTGAGAGAGAGATAGAAGACTTACAAGTTCAGAGTCATGCTTGGCTAGCCGGGAATACAAGAGACTCTTTCTTTTTTTTTTTAAAAAAAAAAAAATCTGGTAAACACACTGGAAATAGAATCTTGTAATTTGGAGTCCTGTAGTACACTCCTTGGGCCCTCAGTCCCCTGGGGCTGTGTTCTCTGCTGGCGCCTCTCCAGCGGGGAGCTCTGTCCAGCTAAGGAAGCCACTGACTCTTTGTGACAGCTGTAACTGCCTCCTGCTGTACACTATACATTTTCTCATGTTTGTGCCTTTGAAGGTCTCCAAAGAAGAGGGATTATCTCTGGCTCGAGAATTCAGTTGTCCCTTTTTTGAAACCTCTGCTGCATATCGTTACTACATTGATGACGTTTTCCATGCTCTTGTACGGGAGATTCGTAAGAAAGAAAAGGAGTTAGTATTGGCCATGGAGAAAAAGTCTAAACCCAAAAGCAGTGTGTGGAGGAGGCTGAAGTCGCCGTTCAGGAAGAAGAAAGACTCGGTAACTTGAGGGAAGTATGAAGTCCCTGCTGTGAACTGCGGTGCTGCCCGAGCAGCCCAGTACCTGCAATAACGGGCATGCTGTCCGCTGCTCTCTTTCCCACTACCCTAAATGCCACTGGCGAGGGGGCCGTGGCCATTGGGCGTTTTCAGTGACTCTGACTTCTTAGCCCTCAGGGCACTGCCCACTCCTTGATTGTCACAGGGGAATTTGATGTGCCATTGTTTTGGTTATGTTACTGATGTAAATTAATTTGTGTAAATTGTTTATGCCCAGGAGAATATGTATACCGTGTGCACTTGACTAAGTTTACAAAAGGAACTTTGCTGTATACCCCCCACCGTCCTTCAACTTGAGCTTCCTGGTACTGTCTCACAGAAGGACCTCTCTGCCTTGTTTTTCCACACTGTGTATCTTGGAGACAGAGCAAAATATTGAATAGGGAAACTAACGATAAAGAGATTGGTGCTAAAGGTGAGTAGGTGTCTGGAGTGGGCTCCTGTTGTAGATTATGAAGTGATTAGGGAGATGGTGTTGTATGTGTTTACATAAGAAGACATGACTGGAAACACGGGGTCAGAAAGTGTCCCCGTGTTGAGCCTGAGGACTGCACATTTGACCCAGAGGCGGGACGGAAACGGACACATAGAGTGAAGGCTTCTCTTGAACATACTTGCTCTTTTTTCAGTATCTTGCCTTCCTTTATCTTTGAAGACTGGCACTTTGAGAACTGCTTCTGGATCTGGACCAGTCGGTCACAAGCTCGCTCGGTTCTTGTTTAAATCCTTTGTTGGGCTAGCCATGGCAGCTCATTGCTGTAATCCTAGTGTTTATAAGGCTAAGGCAGGAGGACTTCCACAAGTTTGAGGCTTGCTGGGCTACAGAATGAAAGCCTGTCTTAGAAAAACAAAACCAAAAATAAACAAATAAATAAATTCTTTCTTAGGACAGCTCCACCACATGCCTTATCCAGGATTCCTCTTTGAAGAGCTGGGCCTGTGCAGATGGTTTTAGGCCCTTTCTTTAGGCTGATGGTGTTGTCTGAACAGAAGAGCTATCTGGAGTCTGAGTAAAATTGTTAGGTGGTCTCTTGACCTCAGCAGTCATTAGACTTAGGCTTAAAGGTCTGGGGTTTCTGTGTGGCCGACTGACCAGTCTTGAAGCTTTAGTATCCACATGTACAAATTGGTTTTCGTAATCTGAGGATTTTCCCAGGGTTGTCAAAGCTCAGCGTCAGAGATACCACTCTGCTTCCCGTGTGTGAGACTAATCTTGGAAGAAACAGCTTTAACTATCAGTGGTGAGCTCTCTGTCTTGATGCCTTAACATACTGTGTGGGGCGCATTCAGGAGAGTCATGATCCCAGTATGGAGTGTTCGTTCCAGGCTCAGGTGACACCTCTTCAAAGCTGCCACAAAGCTTCCTGCTTCCCACTGTCAGAGAAATGGCAGCTGATCCGAATTCTATGAGGAGCCATTGCTAGGACTTTTAACATTTTGGGTAGCGTCTTTTGAAAGTTCTGTTAACTATACAAAATTGTTTTTAATATTCAAGCCATCAAAAAATGAAAGACCCAAATTCCAGTCTATATAAACCGCAGCATTTCAGAGAAGAGACAAAATACAGCACCATTCTCTCTGAACAATGTCTCACCTGGATAAGGACTTGCAGACTGTAGACCTTTGCTGCTTATTCCTGATGGTCTATGCAGTTGTCACCGGTGTTAAGCAAGGAAATGACAGCTACAATGATTCAAGATTGTCAAGGCAGTAGAAAATATCACTAGAAAGAAAGGCCTGTAAGACAGGAAATTATATTCCATACAAGGAAAGCAGCAGTCTTTTTAAGGCTATCCCAGTCGGACATCTAATCCTAAACTGGCCCCTTACTTCCCATTGAGCATTGTATTCGTGGTGCTAGGAACTGCAGGAGTTCAGTGGTGTGCGCTGGAGCCCCTCTGGAATGCAGTGTGTGCGCTGGAGCCCCTCCTCTGGAGTGCAGTGTGTGCGCT